GTTATACATTTAGTCTTTACCCCCCAAATAAGGGGATATTTTTACACTGAAAAAAATGTTGCCTAGCTAAAAAAATTTGTTTTTCATGTATAGCCAAATGGACCATAACAAAAATTACTTAAAACCATTAAAAGGCAAAATCAAAATCTGTAAAAAAAAGAACTGTGTATTATGTGGATAAACTTAGTATTTACTATCTTCTTCACCCTGTAGTTCATAAACATGATTTTAATAACATATGTTACCCTCTGATCCAACCCTTACGCTGAGTATCCTCCCTTTCCCTTATACTCCCTCAACTCCTCCTTACCCTTTTCCTGATTTATCATCATTCTTATGTTTAAAATGTACAATGTGCATTGTTTTTATTTGCAATTCTCATTCGTTTATAGTGGGCCAACCATTTAAAACAACCTACTCATAGTAAATTGTGATTTTTTTATTTGTATTATCTCATGCTTTGTAGTTTGAATAAAAATATGAAATATGAAATGAAATGAACCCATTTCTGATGTGGGGCCTTGCCCTGTCAATAATGAAAACTGAAGAAAAAAATCAGCTTTTCTTAATTAAAAAAATTGACAAATAAGAACCAGAAACCGGGCAAAAAATATATTTATCGGAATTAGAGAAATTATACGAAACGCCCGGATTCCTTTCCATTTCTAAAAATCCAGTTTAATCCTAAAATTTATTTTATAACACTATAATTATGTAAACAATGGCTCTAAATGTGAGGGGTAGGTTAAGTTATAACATATTAAACAAAGTATATAAAAGAACCGAACTTGTATGATTAAACCGTGAGAAACTATGGTTTGAACAATATTTATATATTTAACACTCTAAAATTAGTTAAACGCAACATTTAACAGATTCAGTGAGATTTTGTGTTCTTCTGAGAATCCCAGTTATTAGGTTTTTTTTTACAAAAATTGTGGTTTTGAATAATTATTTATTTTCTGTGAAGAACTATAGACGACGTCAACCTATCTTCTGAAAATCAAAGGGTTTCCCTGTGAATCAGGCAGGTAATTGAAATAACGTCAACGTTCCCTTTAAAAACACATTGGGCCATTCTGTCCACGTTTGTTGCAGAAAAAGTATTAGTTCAACTACATACTTGGTACACTAGACGGGCTGGTATAAGCAAAGGCTGGATCGGATCATGCAACGAACTATCGGGGTGAAGATTATTGTAGATATTTTTCAAATATTTAGCACATTTTAATATCAACTTAGGTTTTCAAAATAAATATTAAGTCAGGTTTCCAAACTAAATATCGAGTCAGGTTTCCAAACTAAATATCAAGTCAGTTTCCAAACTAAATATCAAGCCAGGTTTCAAAACTAAATATCAAGCCAGGTTTCAAAACTAAATATCAAGTCAGGTTTTCAAATTAAATATTAAGTCAGGTCTAGTCAGGTTTCCAAACTAAATATCAAGTCAGGTTTCCAAACTAAATATCAAGTCAGGTTTCCAAACTAAATATCAAGTACGATTTCCAAACTAAGGTTTCCAAACTAAATATCAAGTCAGGTCTAATCAGGTTTCCAAATTAAATATCAAGTCAGGTTTCCAAACTATATATCAAGTCAGGTTTCCAAACTAAATATTAAGTCAGGTTTCCAAACGAAATATAAATAAAAACTAATCCCATAATAATTAAATTGCACACATTATGCGTACATATCTCAAACCTCATAAACACTCAAAAATGAATAAAAATTTCAAGACAATATAAATAAAATATGGTTTCTATATATATTTTTAAATAGATAAGGTCAACCATAAATTGATGTTGGGCGAAACTTTCATTTTCAAAAAGAAGGAAAAGTTTCCCAACAAAATATCAAGTCATGATTAGAATTTTACATTGTACAGACTTACCCACAAAGAATGAGACATCAGAGACGACTGTACGGAATATATTCAGCCTTTTTTGTTACAATAATGGTTCCCTAATGATTTACATTAGTTTCTTTCATCCCAAAATCTTTATAAAATGCCACAAGAAGTCTGTTTTCAGGTCGTCATTAAAACCTCGTCCTTTGTGGGTAACCCTGCATGTACTACCACCCCTTTTTGTATTCCATAAGAATGCAAGGTTTCCAAACAAAGTGCCAAGACATGGTAAAGAATATTGTGTATATACCACAACCCTATTATACACTTTTTTATGACATCTCCGTCAGTCAATTTTTCTTGAGGGCACACGACCACACGACCGCACGACCAGGCAAGACAGACACTACTTATATTCTACATACAAACATTAAGAACCTAGCTTGATACAGCTTGTATTCTAATACAAACATTAAGAACCTAGCTTGATACAGCTTAAATTCTGATACAAACATTATGAACCTAGCTTGATACAGCTTAAATTCTGATACAAACATTAAGAACCTAGCTTGATAGAGCTTAAATTCTGATACAAACATTATGAACCTAGCTTGATACAGCTTAAATTTTGATACAAACATTATGAACCTAGCTAGATACAACTTATTTTCTACATACAAACATAAAGAACCTAGCTTGAAGCAACTTATATTCTGATAAAAACATTAAGAACCTAGCTTGATACAGCTTGTATTCTGATACAAACATTAAGAACCTAGCTTGATACAGCTTATATTCTACATACAAACATAAGAAACATAGCTAGATATAACTTATATTCTGAAACAAACATTAAGAACCTAGCTTGATACAACTTATATTCTGATACAAACATTAAGAACCTAACTTGATACAGCTTATATTCTAATACAAACATTATGAACCTAGCTTGATACAGCTTATATTCTGATACAAACATCAAGAATTTAAAATTCAGTGATGGTGATGGACCAAACCTCTGTAGAGTAAAAAAGTAGATGTTAGTTCCACATTTATTGAAAATATATTTCGGTCTGGGTTGACCCTCGTCAGTTCTTGAGATTGTTTCTTCACAAAGATTAAAAACAAACATCAAGAACCTAGCTTAATACAGCTTGTATTCTAATACAAACATTATGAACCTAGCTTGATACAGCTTAAATTCTGATACAAACATTAAGAACCTAGCTAGATACAACTTATATTCTACATACAAACATAAAGAACCTAGCTTGATACAACTTATATTCTTATACAAACATTAAGAACCTAGTTAGATACAACTTATATTCTACATACAAACATAAAGAACCTAGCTTGATACAACTTATATTCTGATACAAACATTAAGAACCTAGCTAGATACAACTTATATTCTACATACAAACATAAAGAACCTAGCTTGAAACATCTTATACTCTAATACAAACATAAAGAACCTAGCTTGATACAGCTTATATTCTGATACAAACATTAAGAACCTAGCTAGATACAGCTTATATTCTACATAAAAACATAAAGAACCTAGCTTGATACAACTTATGTCCTACATACAAACATGAAGGACCTAGCTAGATACAACTTATGTCCTACACACAAACATAAAGGACCCAGCTAGATACAACTTATGTCCTACATACAAAAAATAAAGAACCTAGCTTGATACAACTTATGTCCTACATACAAACATAAAGGACCAAGCTAGATACAACTTATGTCCTACATACAAAAAATAAGGAACTTAGCTTGATACAACTTATGTCCTACATACAAACATAAAGAACCTAGCTAGATACAACTTATGTCTTACATAGAAACATAAAGAACCTAGCTAGATACAACTTATGTCCTACATACAAACATAAAGAACCTAGCTAGATACAACTTATATCCTACATACAAACATAAAGAACCTAGCTCGATACAACTTATATCCTACATACAAACATAAAGAACATAGCTAGATACAACTTATATCCTACATACAAACATAAAGAACCTAGCTAGATACAACTTAAATCCTACATACAAACATAAAAAAACTTTCCCTACTACTCAACCCCCTTCATTATCTTCAAATCATCGACAAAACTGAATGAAATGTTATAAAAAAGTATACAATTGTATTTTTATTGTATTCCTGACTAGGTTAACAAACAAATAATGAAATAAATCATAATAAATAAATAAATAAATAAATAAAGATAAAAATGGCCAGGAATTTAGCCATGGGACAGCTCGGTGGTCATTTACAATTTGGATAAAATTTCAAGGTTAGCGAATTTACTTTTCAATCAGGGAAACAAAACAACCTTAAACATGAACAACGGAAGAAAATAACAAATAACAAAAATATGCCCGTTCGTAAACACAGCTCTAGCTGCATATAAGATTGTATACATTTAGTTGCTCGGAGCTAGTTTTGTAAAAGATTGAGAAGGTTCTCGTTTTAGGAAGAAAAACATGGAAGGATCTTGACTCGGAAATAGGCAACCATGTTTTAAAAACAGGAACCATGTTTTAAAACAGAAAACATGTATCAAAAACAGGGAGCATATGCTTCAAAAACAGGAATCAGGTTTCTAAAACAGGAACCCAGGTTGAAAACAAGAACCATGTTTCAAAACAGGAATCATGTTTCAGAAAACAGGAACCATATTTTAAAACAGGGATCAGGTTTCAGAAAACAGGAACTATATTTTGAAAACAAGAATCTGGTTTCTGAAACAGGAACCATGTTTCGGAAATAGCAACCATCTTTTAAAAACAGAAGCAATTTCTAAAAACAGAAGCAATTTCCAAAAATAGGCACCATGTTTCAAAAACAGGAACCATGTTTCAAAAACAAGAACCATGTTTCAAAAACAGGAACCATGTTTCAAAAACAGAACCATGTTTCAAAAACAGGAACCATGTTTCAAAAACAAGAACCATGTTTAAAAAACAAGAACCATGTTTCAAAAACAGGAACCATGTTTCAAAAACAAGAACCATGTTTAAAAAACAGGAACCGTGTTTCAAAAACAGGAACCATGTTTTCACAAACAGGAATCTGTTTTATAAAACAGGAACCATGTGTTCACAAACAGGAATCTGTTTTATAAAACAAACATGTTTATACAAGGTTTTAAATGCATCAAAGAGAGAAAATATAGTTAAATATTTTCATGTCTGGTTTCATATGAAGCATTCTTGGTAAACGAGACAAAAATTAAACAGTCTAAATGTCTGGATACCTGAATGCCTTGATAACAATTCAGATATCCAGATATCCAGATATCCATATATCCATTTATTCAGATATTCAAATATCAAGATATCCAGATATTCAGACATACAGATATCCATATATTCAGATATTTAGATATTTAGATATCCAGATATCCATATATTCAGACATTCAGATATCCTAATGTCCAGATAGCCAAATATTCAGATATCCATATATTCAGATATTCGGATATTCAGATATTCAGATATCTAAATATCTACTTTTAGAATCTACGTGGTTTAACAAAATTCCGGAAAAAATATAGCATTCATGCATGCCAGGCTGTCCTGCATTTCGTTAGCTTACTTAGACATGCCAAAGGTCTTCTTTGACATGCCGGGAAGCAGCTTCGACATGCAAAATTGTATTTTGACCGGGATAATATTATCTTCGGTCTAATTACTTCAGATCAGGAGACAATATATACAAAACAATTTAACCAACTTGTATAAAAATATAAAAACAAGATCCCAACAATATTTAGGGATTAGTCTAAAAAATATACACCCCTGGGATTATGAAAACATGAGGCGGACTAGCTGGTTTATAAACTCTTGAGAACTGGAGTCGAGAGAAGAACATTTTCTTCCCATTAGTTTAAACTTACACAAATTAATCATATGTTTAACATTCAAGGTTTTTGCAAAAACAGTTTGGAACGGTTTCCAGATAATGTTGGAAAATGGTTGAAGATGATTTATGAATAATCTCATTATTTCCTACGGTTTCTATGGTTTGCGGGGAAGGAATTGCTATTGTTCACAAAGAAGCGTGGATTGTTTGAAGGTTTCTGACCCGCAACATTCAGAATCTAAAGATTATAACTAAATCCTGACGCTTTTCCTCCGACATTGAAATTGACGCTTACGCTTGAATGTCCACCGATATTCTTGTAGTTGCCGAAGAATTCTTGAGCTTCTTGATTCCTGACATCACGCTGGTTTTCAGATTCAACATCTTCATCTTCAAACAGTTCAATATCATCAGCTGGAGCTATACTCTGTGTACTACTAGCATCTAGGGTGGAGGGGATAGGGTTCACAAGCTCCTCTGGAGATGCGTCCCTCTCTTTTTGTACTTTAGCTCCGAAGGACGGATCTTGATCCGGGTCCTGGTAGTAGATGTAGTAGAGCTCGTCATTATCGATGCTAGGATTCTGAACGTATACGGATCCGGATGAAACCTCCTCAGCTAGGTTTGATGCTACCCCCGTGTTCTGATACTGACCTGGAGCCGGAGCTTCCTGGTACTGGGGTTGTGGTTCCTCCTGGGGTAAATTGTACCCGGAGTCTTCTCCGATTGAAAATGAAACATACTGCTCCTCTTCTGATGGCTGATTGTCTGCTGTGATCAGAGATATAATTGGGAACTGTTCTTCTCCGAATGAGCTTGGATCGTAGCTGTTAGAAGGAGCAGGAGTGTAGGCGGGAATGAAAACAGGTGCCTTAGTTGGTTCAGATGAAGGAGTGTTATACTTAGACAAGGAAATCTTGTTGCTGGCTTTAGGTGCCTCGTAGGGAGGAGGGACAGCAGGAGAACTATACTGTCCGGAGACAGGTTTAGGAGCAGGGGGAGAGTACTGAGGAGCAGGAGCAGGAGCACTGTACTGTGGAGCAGGAGCACTGTACTGTGGAGCAGGAGCAGCAGCTGCAGCAGGAGCGTTGTATTGAGGAGCAGGAGCAGGAGAGTTGTACTGAGTAGCAGCAGCAGGAGCGCTGTATTGAGGTGCAAGAGCTGGGGCATTGTACTTTGGAGCAGGAGCACTGTATTGAGGGGCAGGAGCCGGAGCGCTGTACTGTCTAGTTGATGATGAAGCACTATATTGGGGCGCCGGAGCTGGAGCGCTATATTGAGGAGCGGGGGCGCTGTACTGAGGAGCAGGAGAGTTATATTGAGAACTTGGAACAATATCAGCTGTCGAAGGTATATAAGGAACAGCAGGAACAGGAGCTCCGTAGCTGCTTGGAACCACTATTGGAGCAGGAGACACATACGTGGTGAGAACAGGAGCAGAAGAAGATACTGGTCCACTGTAGCTTGAACTAGAGGAGGAGGATAAAGAACTGATAACAATAGGTTCAGGAGCAGGTTCGGAGTATATAGCAGAGGAGATGAGATCATCTGTGTTTGCTAGCGGAGCATTAGCAATAGCATCATCTAGAGTAACAACATCAGATACATAACTTGAGACCGGAGCAGAGGGACGTTTCTCGTCAAATCCAATAGGAGTCCAACCTGAGTAATCCAGCTTCTGGTCATAACCTGGGTTCCGGGTAGGTTGATTGGATACAGCAGGATATCTAGGTTTAGATTTATACGGTCTCTGATTTGTGTGTGGTTTAGTTGGATAAGAAGGTTTGGTTGGATAAGAGGGTTTGGAAGGATAGGGTTTCTTAGGGTAGCTTGGTTTTCCATGTGCGACAGGAATATTGTTTCCATGAGTTTTACCACCAGGGGGAGAATACTTCTGACCACCTCCATAGGACTTAACCTGACGTCCGGGAGGTCTAGCTTGGTTCGAAGGGTATGGAGCTCGGTGGGTTGGTTGTTTTCTCCCTCCTCCCAGAATACCGAAGAATGCCTCAGACTGTACCTCCGCTACCACCAGGAGAGACACAACCAAGACCTGAAAATATTAATCTTATCAATTAGTGTGTGAGGACGGGTCGTAACAAACTATTTCCGGTAAATGGTTTACTAGAACTTCGCTACTATTGTTTGCGGTGTCAAACCCTAAATCAAACCTTCTCCGTTAATATCCTTGGTGTGTAACTAGAACAACAGTAAACTAGACCAATTCTAAAACCCCATTAAAAAACACTTTAAAATACAGTTTAGTTGCAGACAGAGCTCGGAGCTGGGTTAAGGATGGGTTGAGGGAGAGAGGGTTGGACTGGAGATATAATGAAACCTTCAATACTATACTATTATCTGCACTTACCTACCTTTTATATATATTTAACATTCTTAAAAATAATAAACTTTTGTTTATCGTGAAAAGTAGAATATTTCTGCTAATATTTCGATTATTGCAACATCAAGAGTATATATGAAAACGTAATTATGAGTTTTACAAAAATGAATGCAGTTTGATATTTAAGAACAATTCCTCCCAGTATGAAGTGCTGAAGAATACATTGTTTAGGGGATCATACAGGGGAATTAGGTTCAATAAAATCTAAGGTTGGGACGTATGAAGTACACATTTTTCTCCTGGTTGCAGGATGAAGAGGCTGTACCAGATCTCTTTATATTTTGTTTGCTCCGGGTTTAAGCCAGATAGGGGAAGATGTAAGATATATAAATATATATATATATATATATATATTTACTCCTGGTGTCAGGATTGAAGGAAGAATAGTGATTAAGGTTGAGGATGTAGGTTTGCATAATACCCGGAGGCATTTAATTGTAATCTTGGAGTTGAATACTCAGACTAGGAAGGAAATGATTTTTCTTTATCGTTTGTTCAGCCAACCTTAGTCTGGATTATGAGGAGGGAGGGGGGGGGGGTAGCCAATCTTAGTATGGATTATGAGAAGGGTGGGGGGGAGGGTTTAATTTGGAGGTAGTAAAGTAAGGGTTAAGCATACAAATTACGAAACAGTGATAATACATAACTATGAAGAAAAAATGAATCAATTCCCATTATGATCCTTTATATACATTACACCTGTTCTTTACACTCACTTTTTCCTTCCTTATATGTCTACATCTCAGGGGATATCAAATCATACCCCATCCCCCCTCCTTAGTTTGATATAAGATATAATTAACCATTTAGTCGGACGATTTATCAAGTTTAAGCTTCGTAACTGATTTCATGCAGGCTAGATATTTCAAGTCTCTCCGAGATGCCAATTAACCCAATATATGGACTGACAATGGGCGGTAGGTTTAATGTATATTTTAGGGGGGACATATTTTAGTATAAAAACCTATGTAGATTAATATCTGTCTCGTATTGTTTTGCATTTGAGATTAAATCATCCAAACAATGAATGATGATTTCTCAAAATAGGTTTTTACTGCTGAACAAGTCGGACCAAAATATTCGCTGATTAATTCAGAATTGCCGATATCCGATATCGGTTTTAGCGCTCAACTAGATACTGTAAACTAAAGGATTTGACCGTCAACAAAATAGTAATGAAAGTTGATTTAAGAATTGAAAATATCGACACGTACAACCATAGCTATAGAGAGAAATTCCGCTCTGAGTTTTTGTGTTCAGACCTACTACTGTAGGAGAGAGAAGGGTGGAAAATAAAATCCCAGTAAAAAGTGCTGAAAATGTTGGCATTTTAATTGTTTTTTCGGACACGGGACTTCTACACGATTCTACCACAAATACTATTATACACAATACAACATTATATTACAATGCACGCACTTAAACACCTTCTCTTTTTAAAAATTCATATCTAACTCCACATACTTGTATCTTCCTTACTTAATTTAAGACCATTCAAGCAAATTTTCTTCAGTTTAGTTTACGACCAAAATTAAGTATATTTTAAAGGTTTTTTGAAAGATAACTTTAGATTAGAATCCTGTTTTTTTTATTTTGTTCTGACAAATTGTATTTTAATGTACGTGTATCCGCAGATTCTAAAAAGAATGAAACGCTCAGTAAAAAACATCAATTTCTCTCTATATACATTAGCCTAAAGGAACTGATTTCTTGCCTCCAAATTTAATATTCCTATAGCAACCTTAGCTACAGGGTTACCCACAAAGAATGAGACTTCAGAGACGACTGTGCGGATTTTTTCAGACTTTGTTCTTACATTCAAGGTTCAATGCAACTTTAATTTGATCAAATTTTTTGCCAACTCATTAAATATGCCATTAGAAGTGTATATTTGAGAATAAATTTTCATATCGTTGTATTTAAAGGGTTTTCAGTCATCAATAAACCCTCATTCTTTGCGGGTAAATTTCCTGACTAAGATAAAAGTTCCTTTTTTATCTTTCTTATCATTCTCATAATATGCTTTACTTCATACAGTTGTAGAATGTAGTGTAAAATGTACTATATTGTATACTGTATACTGTATACTGTACTATAGTGTATACTGTACTATAGTGTATACTGTATACTGTATACTGTACTATAGTGTATAGTGTATACTGTATACTGTATACTGTACTATAGTGTATACTGTATACTGTATACTGTATACTGTATAGTGTATAGTGTATAGTGTATAGTGTATAGTGTATAGAGTATACTGTATACTGTATACTGTATACTGTACTATAGTGTATACTGTATACTGTATACTGTATACTGTACTATAGTGTATACTGTATACTGTATACTGTATACTGTATAGTGTATAGTGTATAGTGTATAGTGTATTCTGTATACTGTATACTGTATACTGTATACTGTATACTGTATACTGTATACTGTATACTGTATACTGTATACTATTATAAATCCTTGATTTTCAACCAACAGAATAAATTATAATTGTGAAATTCAAGAATAATATTCCACCCTATCCATAGTTATCTTTCCATCCTTCTATCATTCTATCCTTCTATCCTTTTATCCTTTAATCCTTTTATCCTTCTATCCTTCTATCCTTCTATCCTTCTATCCTTCTATCCTTCTATCCTTCTATCCTTCTATACTTCTATCCTTCTATCCTTCTATTCTTCTATCCTTCTATCCTTCTATCCTTCTATTCTTATCATTCTATCCTTTTATCCTTCTATCCTTCTATCCTTTTATCCTTTTATCCTTCTATCCTTCTATCCTTCTATCCTTCTATCCACCTATCCTTCTATCCTTCTATCCTTCTATACTTCTATCCTTCTATCCTTCTATTCTTCTATCCTTTTATCCGTCTATCCTTCTATTCTTATCATTCTATTTTTCAATTCTGATTTTTCCTTTTCTGTATAGTTGTATTTCCGTTTGCCTTTTGAGTCAAAATAACTGAGTCTTTGGCACAAACTCAACCAAATGTTGTAGAACTTAGATATTTTAAACTGTTGGATCAAATAATCTAAGATTAAAATATCAAAGGTTTACAACATCTAAATGCAAAGAAATATAAGAATAAGAAAATTTGAGTTTGTGGCAAAGACTCAAATCCTTTGTTAATATTTTTTTGTAAGTTTTGCGCTTAATAAATTTCAAAATTGTCTTCAATTTTGAAATTTTGGAAATTTCCCACAAATATTATAATTCCATATATTTCGCAGGCCCCCCCCCCCCCTCCTCCATTCTCAAACGTTTAAAAACTTGACGCTTTATTCATTCATGAATATTTGAGAAGACTCTAAGGCTAGCAGGACCCACCTGGGAGTTTCCTTCCTAACACTTAGCCTACTCTGTCTGTATTACAAGGTTGAATGAAGATGTCTTAATTAGGTAGAAGTAGTTCTCCCTCCTGCTGGGTTCCTGGGATCCGTCTGTAGTTTCTGGCACACGGAGCAATCCCAGGATCCGTCCCTCACATATACTAATATTCAACATGTTGGACATCTAGAGAGAAGAAAACTGAACACATACCTGTCTACATCATTCAGACAAATTACAGGACTGCAGGGGCGGAGTTACAGAGAAATAACAGGATTGGTTTAGCAGAAGAATCAAACTCAACTCTTCAAAACCTCAGACCAATCAATTCCACTTGAGAAAAAATTAAAAAATACATTTTGCAGATTGTAGAAATAAATTCCATGAACTTATCTCATCATAATCTCTCTCTTCAGGACAGACCATCTTTCGATTTCCAGAGAAAAATTTGAAAAAATTCCTGTTATGATGCACCCGTCCTTGTAATAAAAGGGTGAGCTCCAACAGGTCGAAATGACCTGGAGAAGGGATGGAATGTGAGAAGACTGAACCTTCTGTCGAATGGTATTTTAACAACTCAGGACAGGTCGTCTTGTGACTCATTCACAAAATCTTGGACCGGGATAGAATATCAAAATGTGGAAACTTGTCCGTAAAAATATCTTATTCTCATAAGATCTGTAAGTTTTCAGGGTTTGGACCTAAATAGGTTTGGTTGAGGGGGGGAAGGATGATCCCTGCATGAGTGTGTGTAGAGATGACCCTGACCCGGGCTAAAATCATAGTTACAGGGAACACTTCTTAGTGGGGGATATATGGGGTTTCCTGAAGAATAGGAATTCTAATTAGGATTTAATGATATTTTTTGCCTCTGAAGGAGGAGAATTTCTCACTTATGACTCAGTGTGGTATTTTTTGCAATTATTATGATAATCAATTTAAATGATTGTATGGAAAAACAAATTGAAGAATTTCTGCGTATTAACCCGGACTGTTTTTCTTCGTTAAGTTGAAAGAGTGGGTTAGAAAAATGTAGTTTGCACTTTGGTTTGACCTTAAATAAGGCAGAAAATTGTTTATAATTCTCTAAACCATATTTTTATAAAGCAGGTTTATGTTATGAGTAAAATCAAGAATCTCTAGGTTGGGTGAAGAAGGTGGAGGTGTGAAACATACCAAACCTTCGGAATCTGTGCTAATAATAGAACCCGGAGTCAAGATAGAACCTGAGATACGCGGGGTAAATACAGGGTTAGAGGTTTACGTATCTCCTACATATATTATACAAACTTCAATACAAGTAAATAGAT